CTCTTCCACGCGGCCGACCCCTGCGCCTGCCGTCTCGAGCCCCTGCTGGCCCCCAAGTTCCAGGCCATTGCCCCACTGGCTGTGCCCCGCTACCAGAAGTTCCCCCTGGGAGACGGCTCATCCCTCCTGCTGGGTACGCCCCCCAACCAAGATAAAGGGGGGAGGGAGGAGGGCCTCGGCAGGGGCGATGGGGAAGGCCCCCCTCACCCAAGGAGACGTAAGGTAGTTCCCACACCGCTGGCGACTTCTCGTGTCACTGTTGCCGGGACCAGGGAGTTCTACCCCAGTCCCCTGGGAGGTGTGCACCCCCCAAACCCCCAGTGTCCTCTGCCTGGGGGGCAGTGGTGAGGCCTGGGGGAGGCAGAGCGAGGCTGGTGTGGCTGAAGGAGGGCCGCCCCCCGCGGAGGGGGGCGCTGCAGAGTCTGTGGGCGGCGGTGCCCTGTGACCCATACGCACCGCGCTCCTGCATCAGTGCGGCGTGTGCTCGTGCGCGAGACACGTGGGCCCGTGGCGGGGTGGCGGGGTGGCGGGGACAGGCACCCCAGCAAGGATGCAGCCGGCTGTCGGGTGAGCTAAGAGGAGAGAACGCCCCGACTGGTCGCTCCCCCACAGATGTGGCGCAGTTCTGCCTCCACTACGACCTGATCTGGGAGGGCCGGCAGGGGGGATGGTGGAGGCGCGGGGGCTGAGCTGTCTTGGAAGCCCGGAGCCGGAAGCCCGGCAGGAGGGCGGCCGGCGGGCCTGCCGCTGAGGCACTGGCCCTCCTCGCCAGCTGACACCCTGCAGACGCACTCGGGCCTCTTCCTGGAGGAGCTGGAGATGGTGCCCTCAACACCCACCTCCACCGGCGGTGCCTTCTGGAAGGGCAGTGAGCTAGGCTCGGAGCCACAGGCCCAGCCAGCTGCCCCCAGCAGCACCAGTGAGGTGGTTAAGAGTAAGTCCACCGGACACCCAGCCAGGGGAGGGCACCCCTGTACCTTGTCCACAGGGAGCCCAGGGGACACACCACTGCTCCCAGCACCTGGTCTGGAACCCCCCCCTCCGCCAGCACCCAGCCCAGACTCAGAGAAGCAGGCTTGGGGGAGAGGAGGGAGGGAAAGCACCCAGGGGCCAGGCCCGTGGGCACGGGGTGGAGGGCCACCCTGACTCACTGCCCACCGTGGCTGCGCAGTCCTGGAGAGATGGTGGGGGACCAAGCGGATAGACTACTCGCTCTACTGCCCCGAGGCGCTCACCGCCTTCCCCACTGTCACGCTGCCTCACCTCTTCCACGCCAGCTACTGGGAGTCGGCCGACGTGGTGGCCTTCATCCTGCGCCAGGTGGGCCAGGGTACCAGGGTACGGACGGGATGGGAAATGGGAACCGCGGGAACCGGACCAGGATGGGGAGCTGCGGGCTGGGGGAGGGGCAGCCCTAGGACCCTGTTCACGTGACCTAGCCCCGTCCCGCTAGGTGATCGAGAAAGAGCAGCCGCAGCTGGCCGAGTGCGAGGAGCCGTCCATCTACAGCCCGGCCTTCCCCAGGGAGAAGTGGCAGCGCAAACGCACGCAAGTCAAGATCCGAGTAGGTGCACTGCCCCTTCGAGCCCTCAGAAGCTAGGCCCCTCTCCAGATCCCCGCCTCCACGGTCTTCCCAAGTCCCGCCCCCCACCTTCCTGGTGGTCCGGGGCCCTGGGAACAAGTGGTCGCCCGCCCCCCTTCCCCGAAACTTCTGGGTAACTGGCTGTGCGCTCTTGCCATCCCTTCCGCCAGAATGTCACTTCCAACCACCGGGCGAACGACACGGTGGTGTGCGAGGGCCGCCCCCAGGTGCTGAATGGGCGCTTCATGTACGGGCCCTTGGACGTGGTCACGCTCACCGGAGAGAAGGTCAGCACCCAGTGGCCTCGGCCCGGGTAGACCCGCCCCCATTGCTCAACCGCGCCCCCAAGCGGGAGTTCCCGGTCCTGCTTCCTGTCCCCTGGACAGCTCCCGGCCTGCCCGGTGGAGCGCTCAGCCCCATCCACCCCAGATGACAGGCCCACCTCTGCCCTCCCTTCAAAGTCAGGGGGTGCCAGGGGTCTCCACCCCTCAGACACCCTTGCCCCCTCTGCTTACCAGGTGGACATCTACATCATGACACAGCCGCTGTCCGGCAAGTGGATCCACTTCGGCACCGAGGTCACCAACAGCTCGGGCCGCCTCACCTTTCCGCTGCCTGCTGAGCGTGCGCTGGGCATCGGCGTCTACCCAGTGCGCATGATGGTTAGGTGAGGGCGCGGCGAGCCAGTTCTCTGGGGGGCGGGACTTGGCTGGGCCTCACCACCGCCCACCCCCAAGCCACTCACCCCGAGACCACTCACGCCGCAGGGGCGACCACACCTATGCTGAGTGCTGCCTGACCGTGGTGGCCCGCGGCACCGAGGCCGTGGTCTTCAGCATAGATGGCTCCTTTACTGCCAGCGTCTCCATCATGGGCAGCGACCCCAAGGTGCGCGCCGGCGCCGTGGATGTGGTCAGGTAGGAGCGGCCACGGCCAGGCTCACTGCAGAGACCGGCCCCAGCGCCTGGTACCTGGAGCTGACTGCCCCCCCTCCCGCAGGCACTGGCAGGATGCAGGCTATCTGATTGTGTACGTGACCGGCCGGCCTGACATGCAGAAGCACCGTGTGGTGGCCTGGCTGTCGCAGCACAACTTCCCCCACGGGGTCGTCTCCTTCTGCGATGGCCTGACCCACGACCCGCTGCGTCAGAAAGCGATGTTTCTACAGAGCCTCGTGCAGGAGGTACAGCGACTGGGAAGGGCCCCGCCTCTGCCCTTGGCCTGTCTCTGGGACCTTAACTGACAGGGGAGGTCCCTATGCTTAGGTCCTAGTGTGCTCCAAGGGGTCCCTACTCCCTAGGGCCAGTGAGGGAGATCCGGTGGGCCCTGCCTCCCATCCGCGCCTGGTGATGCGGGACTCTCTGCCCCTCCGTTGTCCAGCCAGCCTGGCTCCCCAAGCTGTCTGACCCGGGAAGCCCACCAGACGCCACCCCCAGCCTCATGCCCTGTCCCAAGGTGGCTCACTGGCCTCTCCCACCACAGGTGGAACTGAACATCGTGGCTGGCTATGGATCCCCCAAAGACGTGGCCGTATACGCAGCGCTGGGCCTGCCCCCCAGCCAAACCTACATCGTGGGCCGCGCCGTACGGAAGCTGCAGGCACAGTGCCAGGTGAGGGCCGAGTGCGGGTGAGGCCCGGGAGCCTGGGTCTGAGGTCACAGGGTCCACCTGTGTTAAGAAGAGCCAGCCTGGCTGGCATGGCTCCGTGGATTGAGTGCTGGCCTGAGAACCGAAAGATCGCCAGCTCAATTCCCAGGCAGGGCACAGGCCTAGGTTGTGGGCCAGGTCCCCAGTAGGGGATACATGAGAGGCAACCACACGTTGATGTTTCTCTCCCCCTTTTTCACCTCTAAAAATAAATAAAATCTAAAAACAAGAAGCAAGGGGGTTGGCTGCGAGATGGACGGCCTGCCCCAGGGGACCTGGGCTCTTCCTCCCAGGACAGGGGTCATGTGCAGCTGGCAGCTGCAGGGCAGACCAGCAGCGGTCACTCAGGCTGGTTGTGGCATGGCCCTGGGCATGGGCCTTGACCGGTCTAAGCCCCAACTTACTGTCTGTAAGATGAAAATAATAAAATGGCATTGACCTTGACAGCTGTCACGAAGGTCACATGATCATGTGGTCACCGCACATGGACGGGCACAGGCACAGAAAGTGCTTGTTGGCTGCTACTGTCAGCCCCCCCCCGCCCCCCTCGTCCCCCAGGCCACGTTACAGGTGAGGAAGCAGCCCAGAGAGGGGCAGGGCTAGGAGTACAGCCAAGGCAGCACCGTCGGGGAGCCCGGACAGGACGGGCGGGGGGCAGCGTGTGAGCCTCAGACCACCATCCCCTCACCCCTGCCCACCTCTGTCCACAGTTCCTGTCGGACGGCTACGTGGCCCACCTGGGCCAGCTGGAAGCTGGCTCCCACCCTCATGCCCCCACGGGACCCTCAAGAGCCACCCTGGCCAAGGGCAGCTACGGCGGGGCCGCCCCTGTGGACTTCCTCCGCAAGCAGAGCCAGCTGCTCCGCTCCAGGGGCCCCAGCCAGCCCGACCGGGAGGGCCCAGGGACGCCGCCCACCATGCTGGCCCGGGGCAAGGCCCGAAGCATCAGCCTCAAGTTGGACTGCGGAGAGTGAGGCCCGCGCTGTGGCCGGACCTGGGTTATTTATTCTCACGTTCAGGGGCCCGAGTGGCCACGTGCGGGAGGCTGGGGGCCCAGACCCCCAGCCCTGGCCTCCCAGCTCCACACCCTGCATCTCTGTCTGCCCCTCAGCGTTACTTCCCTTTCATGTGGGGGGACCCAGCCCGGGGGGCAGCAAGGAGGGGGCAGGGATGGACGAGGACCCAGAGGCTTCTCCAGCGTGTGAACCACGGAAATAAACACCACCGGCTTCTCACCTGATCGCCCGCTGGCCTGGTCTCGTGGGGCAGCTGAGCCCGCGGGTCCCAGTTCCACGGGGACACTGATGGGTGGAGGGGGGCCGGGATGTGCCCAGGACCATACGACACATCAGAAGCAGCACCAGGGGGGGCCCCTGGGTCTCGTGGAGGGCTCTGTCCTCCCTGCTCCCCAAGCAAGGCCTTTTTCTGGAGCCAGCCCAGACTCGGCTTCTCCCGGCAACCTCTGCCTCCAGGAGCGGAGACCAGGGGCCCCTGGATCAGAGGCTGGAGGGCGGAGGGCGGGCATCTCAGTAAAGCTCGACTTGGCCGCTCCCTTAAAACTGAAGGCCCCTGGGTACTGCGGCCCTGGCCAGCCAGAAGCCTTTTGTGGCGGAGGTCAGCCTCGTTTCTCTGCCAGGGACACTGAGGCCCAGAGAGGTCTCAGGGCCGGCGAACGGGGTGCTGGGGCTGGGACCACCCCAGTACCAGGAAATGCGAGGTGACGGCGCCGGCTCCCCCAGTGGATTAGCTCCGCAGGCCCACAGACAGATAAATAAGGCCTTTATGTACAGAGAAGCACGATGCAGTGGGGCGGGTGGGCTGGCGGCGGCGGGCTGGGCGGGGTGGGCCGGACCTGTCAGTGGGAGAAGATGCCCCGGAAGCGGGCCTTGTCCTCCTCGTCCTTCTGCCGGATCCGTGTCTCCAGGGCCCGGAGCTCCCGGCTCACGGTGTGTGCCAGGCTGGGGTCCAGCTCCAGCACCTTGGCGAAGTCAGCCTGGGCCTCCTGGGTGTTCCACACGGCGGCGTGCGCCTTGCCCCGCTTGAAGTAGGCCTTGACGTTGTCTGCAGGGGGGGGCAGCAGGCATGTGAGGGCCCGAGGGGGGACCCGCTGGCTGCCCGGGGCCGCCTGCTGGCACTAAGGGGCCCATCCTGGGGCAGAGCCCTCTCAACCTCACGGCGCCGCCACTCATACCTCCGGCACCACAAGGCCCACGCCCCTGCTTGGTGGGGACCATGTAGCCAAGCTGTGGGAGCTCGGAATAGGCTCAGCCTGGCACCCCAGTGCCCTGCAGTGCTGAGGAGGAGCAGGCCACTCCCCGGACCCCGCCCACCCTCCCAGCCCGAGGCCCGCGCTCACCATCATACTTGTTGAGGATGGAGGAGCAGTGGTCCAGAACTTCGTAGTACTCTTGGGCCACCAGCTTGCACTGACAGTAGTTGAGCAGCAGCGGTGTGATCTGCTGGTCCAGCTGGATCCAGTCCGGGGACCCAGGCTGCTCCTGGGGACAGGGGGGCAGGGAGGGGAGGGCTGATGCTCAGACCCGGGCCCCAGGCGCCCCCCTCGGGCCCCCACCCCGCGGCCGCGGCCCGGGGCAGCACCTTCATCTGCAGGTTCTTGAGGCAGGCGATGGCGTCGTAGTACTTGGCGGCGGCCTCCTTCACGAGGCCCTCGCGGTACAGCCGGTTGCCTTCCTGGTGGATGACGGGCACCGCCTTCGCCTTCTCCTCATCCGTCATCGCCCACGGGTCCTGCTGGTAGGTGCCAGGGCTCTCCACCTGCCGGGGCGTGGGCCAAGTTACGGGAAAGCCCCAGGCTCCAGACAGCGGATGCCAGAACTACAACCGCTTGGTCCTCCACTGCCCAGTCACCGAACGTGCACGGAGCCCCGCCCACGGGCCCAGCACTGCGCCAGGTCCTAGGAACAGGACGGTGAACAAGACGGTGAAGACCCCTGCCCTCTCAGAGAGACCTGAAGGAACAGGAGGGGCCCCAGGAGGGAGCCCCACGGGGACAGCCAGGGGTCCCGCCCCAGTGTTCTTGTACCTGCCCTGCCCTAACCCCCCAACGGTCTATCCACGGAGCCCTGGGTGGGTGGGCAGGGCCGGCTCCCGCTCCGGGGCTGGGCTGTGGCTGTTTGTCTGGGCTCCTGAGCCTCGGCAATCCCTCACCTTGAGCATCTCAATGTCAAAGATGAGAGGCTGGGGGTTCTGCTGCAGGGCGTCCAGGTCGGCGTGGCCCAGGGAAGTGTGCTCGTGCATCTGGGCGATGCCGCAGCAGTGCCGCTGGCCCTCCAGGGGGTCTTTGCCGGCTGCGATGTTGCGCAAACTCTTGGCCACGAGCGGATACAGGACCACGTGCTGCAGGAGAGCGAGTGGGCACCAGGGGCTGTCAGGGTGGTCCAAGAGGCCCAGCCCCTGCCCAATCGCCGCCTGAGAAAGAATGCTGAGGCCCGGAGAGGGACCACAGTTGCTCCAGCCTCACTCCTCCGAAACTCAGGAGGGCTCTCCCCTCAGGACCCTGGCCTCCCAGCATCCTCTCTCCCAGAAAGGCCCCCACCTCCTTCCACACACTCGGGCCACCAAACCAAGCCAAGCACGTCCCCCCACAACGCACCCCCCTCCGACAACCACACTCCCCCACTGTCAACCCATCTCCCCTGTCCTCACAGGCGCGCAGCTCACAGGCAGGACTCGCCACATTCTGTCCCCAGAGGCTTTGCGGCTCTCCTGCCCTGCGCCCACCCCATTCAGGGCCTGTCTCATTGCTGAGCTTGGCAGCTTCACAACCCACAGCAGGGGGGACCCTCAGGCCTGGGGGACCCCGCTTTTCCCCCTTTGCTAGAAACAGCTGCTGGGATGGGGGAACGAGACTGCCATACCTCGATCCAACCAGCTCATCTCACTGACCCTGCTGTCTGCATCCAGCCAGCAGACACGCCTGAGTCTTGGCTCTGGGCTGGCCCACTCTGGGCATTTTGAAGCTGGAGGTCAACAAATCCAACCCCTGCCCTGAAGTATCTGAGACTCCGGCAGACGACCAGATCCTGGCCATGCCAGAAAAGATGGGTTGGAGGGCCCGGAGGAGGGGTTCAACCCAACCACTGACTAGTAGTCAGGGAGGACTTCCTGGGGGTGGTGACCCAGGAATTCTTTGTGGGGTATGAGGGAGGATCTTGGCCGAAAAGAGGATGGAAAGGAAAGGCAGGGAGGTGAGTGGGAGGGACCAGACCCTGCAGGGCCACATGAGCAGCTACAGCTTCCGCTCGAGCCTGGTGCTGACCAGGAGCTACACAGGCCCCAAGCAAGGAGTTGAGCAGGCCACTTGCATTTGAGAACCAGGCTACAGTCTGGCTGATGGAAAAGAGAAGGCAGAAAAGAGGCCGGGAAGCCCTGGCGGGAGTCGGTGGTGACCCAGCCAGGGTGGAGGCCCGGGGTGGGGACTAGGCATGGCTGGACAGACAGGGCAGGCACCACGGGCACTGCGGGCAGGTGCGGGACGCCAGGTACCTTGACATCGCAGTGGAACTGGGCGATCTCCCCCTCACGCATGGTGCTCACGATGGTCTCCCACACGGGCAGCTTGAACTTCTTGCCCACGATGAGCTCCATGGGCTTGCCGTGCACACGGCTGTCATCCAGCACGACGCCCACCTCGTCGCTGCGCAGAGTCCGGTAGTGGAACGTGGCCTGCAGGCCAAGTGTGGCATCAGGCAAGGACACAAACCCTCCCCCGGCCCCTGAGGACAAGGCCAGCTCCAGCCTGCAGGCGGCAGAAGGGACAGGGCTTGCCCAGGGGCTACCACCTGACCCTTACCCCACTATCCAAGTGAGGAAACTGAGTCAAGGAGAGGGAAGTCGTAGGAGGCCCAAGTCACATGGCCAGTGGGTAGATAGCCTAGGAGGGGAGCCCAGCAGCCGGCTCCAATCACTCTTCCAACAAATATTCGCTGGGCACCTACTATGCGCCCGAGCTCTCTGCTAGCCGTGGCAGTGAACAAAACACAAAATCCCTGCCCCCCTGGAGCTCATGTGGACCATCTAGAAGAAAGAGATGGGTCTCCTGCCTGGTGTGGTTCGGTGGCTTGAGCTCCAGCCTGTGAACCGAAAGGTCACCAGCTCAATTCCCAGTCAGGGCACGTGCCTGGGTTGCTGACCCTGTCCCCAGTTGGGGGTGCACGAGGGGCAACTGACTGATGTTTCTCTCCCCCTCTTCCTTCTTCCCTTCCCCTCTCTATAAATAAGTAAAATCTTTAAGAAAGAGAAAGAGAGATGGGCCTCCAACGACAACGTGCTCTGTAAGGTGGAGGCGAGCGCTGGCATCAGAAAACAAACAGCAGCAGGTGGGGCGGAGGGGGTTACACGAGGCGGGGAATGCGACCTTCAGCAGAGATCCCAAGGGAGTAAGTAGCGGGAGCAGCAAGCCAGGCAGATGCAAGGCGGTGCGAACTTTCTAAGCCAGAAGAACGGCAGCGCAAAAGCCTCCCAGAGGGGCAGAGGGACAGCGTGTGGTGCATTCAGGAAGCCGTGGGGCCCCCGTGACAGAAGCTGAGTGACTGCAGGGAAGGGGTGCACCGTGGGGTCACAGGGTCAGCAGGGGTGGATCCCGGCCCCGGAGCCTGTAGGCTGTGCAGGTGAGGGCCTTGTTGTTTACTCTGAGATGGAAGCAACTCGGTGGATCCAAGCGGAGGAGGAAGCAGATCAGGTTGTAGAAGGGCGAGGGCAGAAACAGGAGGGCAAGGTAGGAGGTTACTGCAATAACCCAGGGGAAACCATTGCCGCCTGGACCAGAGTGGTAATGGGAGAAGTGGTAGGAAGTAGTCAGGCCCTGGGTGGATTTCGAGGATCTGCTGTGGGGCGTGAGAGAACAGGAGGAACCATGGAGACTGTGAGGTTTTCTGCCTGAGCAACGGGGAAGCTGGAGGTGCCCTTAACCGAAATGGGGAAGGTGTGGGCAGGGCAGGTTAAATCTGAGCTGCCAACCAGACATCCAGGTGGAGATGGTGAGTAGGGAGTTAGATATCAGGATTAAGGGCAGGTAAAGGCAGAGATATACACGTGGGCTAGTCCAGGCACAGGGCACGTTACGGGATTAGGCTGGATGAGGTCCTCTGGGGGTGAGTGCAGGCGGAAGGCGTCTGAAGACCCATCCCTCGACCGGCCGTGGTTAGAGGAGCCCACACCCTTCACCAGCTGCCACGCTGCTCCTCTGAACTCGGTTCCCACATCAGTGAAACGGCGTCAACAGTCCTACTCACCCCACATTGTGGAGATGAAAGGGAATAAACTCGGAAACCATCTAGCACGGTGCTCCTATAGTGAGCACTCAACCAGTGCTGGTGACTGGTCATTTAATATCACCTGTCCCTGTTCTTTCAGTGCCATTGTCCACAGAACTTTACTCTCTTTACAACGTTCTCTCCTGGTGCCTGTTCCATCCAGAATCTCCCTTGCCAGGACCTTCTTCAAGGCCACCAACCCCCAGCCCATGGAGGCCCTTCCCGGATCCCAAGGTTCCAGCTCAGGGTCTTCTCCAGCGATGGGTCTACGCAAGCACTGAGGACAGACACCCCCCCAACCTGTTTATGTCTCCTGGCGGCCTCCCGGGCCAATACAATCACGGGGCCAAGCCCGGGGGCGGGGCAGACGCATCCAAATTCATCCCCTACTTAAATTCAGACCAATCAGCGTCGAGCTCCGCAGGAGAGCGGTAGATTCATGGGCCGCCGCTCTCTAGGCATGCGCAACCTCTCGCCTAAGGCCTCCTCCCGCCTCGCGAGCGCACGGCGCCGTGGAGGGGTTAAGGGGCCGGGCTAAGACACTAACCTTGGTTCCATCCTTAAAGTCAGGGAGCTCTCCTCGACCCTCCTGTATCACACGCTTTTGGATTCCGTCCTCCCGGAGGCTCGCGATGACATCCGCCATCCTCCTCACCCGCTGCTCTGTTTCGGCAACTTCCGGACTCGCTCGGCAGCTTCCGGACCTGTTTCGGCAACTTCTGGCGCTTCGGCCACTTCCGAGGTGGCGCCATTTAGGCTGATGGCAGACGCCAAAGAGGGAGTGATTATGGAAGCGGACGGTGATTGGTTCTCCGCATTTCGGCTGAGCGTGCGCGATTGGCCGGGGCCGGGGCCGGCCAGGGAGGCGGGACCAGAGTGTTTGGGCTGGACGGCCCTGGGGGCGTCCCTAGGAATCACGTCCTTGAATTGATTAGGACTGCGGCCCTCCCACGTGGCCTAGTGCCACTCCATTTAAAGTTGTAGAAATCGTTTAACAGCATTTCAGACCTAGGAGAAGAGAATGGGGACTGGGCCGGGAGTTGAGGCTCATCGTAACACCGCCCCCAAAAGCTATTTTTGTGTATCCCCTCTGGCTTTTTCTTATAGCCATATTTAGAAGCACAGTAGTCGGGAATTTTAAATACTGAATTTGTTTTTCTCTTACAAATTAAAAAAAAAAAAACAAAACACGAGAGTAAGAGGAAAAGGAGGGTTTCTGTATCCCTGTGGGAACCGTAAGCTCCCCAAGATACTGAGAGAGCGCCATGTGGGGTTGGTGGTGGGAGTGTCCTCACCCTTGACTCCCCAGTGTCCGGCACAAAGTGGGTGCTCTTTAAATATAAGGGAATACATGAATGATAGAAGCGAGGTACTTTAGGGCTAAAACAGCGTTCGTCTCAGCCCCAGGGAGCTGGCTGTGGACAACAGCTATAAGAGATTTAGGTCACCACATAAGAGGATGTCCCGGGACCTGTGCATTGTCTACATCTCATCATCATAACTGGGAAGGATTATCGGGGGTCCTCTGTGACCCAGGTGCCGAGTGCTTCAGATATTTACACCGGTTCATTTCACACGAGAACTCCCTAAGACAGGCAGGACCTCAGATGAAAGGGAAACATGCTTTGTTTATTGTTATTGTTTTTAACCAATGCAGGAAATTTTACTGGCCAGTACTGTATTTGGAAGCAACAAGTAGTCTGTATCTTGTACAGATTGTTCCAGAAAATAGAAAAAGAGGAAAGCCAACCACTATACTTTACAAGCCTTCTTTAATCTTGATTCCTGAACCAGATAAATATACCATAAGGCACAAAAAGTAGGCCCTGGCCAGGTAGCTCTGTTGGTTAGAGCATCCTCCTGATATGCGGAGGTTGTTGGTTGGATTCCTTGTCAGGGCACATACAAGACTCAGCCAATGAATGCATAGATAAGTGGAACAGCAAATTGATGTTTCTTTTTCTCTGTTTCTCCTTTCCGCCACCCCACTCTCTCCCTCTTCCTCTGCAGTGTTTCTCCTTCATTGCAATTATGACTATGTGTGTACAGTTAAAATACACATAGCCCTGGCTGGTGTGGCTCAGGGGCTTGAGCTCAGGCTGAGAACCAAAGGGTTGCAGTTCAATTCCCAGTCAGGACACATGCCTGGGTTGCGGGCCAGGTCCCCAATGGGGGTTGCACAAGAGGCAACCACACGTTGTAGTTTCTTTGCCTCTTTAAAAAATAAAATAAAATAAAATAAAATAATTAAATACACATAAACAGATACACAGATATCTGTCTTCCCAGCTTTAAATATATATGCCACATTTTACTAATAAATATAGATATGAACATTCTAATGACCTATTAAGCAAATTGAATCCACTGGTGTATGTAAAAAATGCATCAATATCTGAGTGAATGCCTCTCACAGAAAGAGACATACTGTATGATTGCATTTATACGCAGTGCCCAGAGTGGTCAAATTCAGAAAGATAAAGTTGAATGACAGTTGGCTGGGGATGGGGGGGAAATGAAAAGTCATTGTTTAAGGAGCAGGGTACAGAGTTTTGGTTTTGCAAGATGAAAAGTCCTGGATACTGGCTGTGCGACAGTGTGCGTGCAGTTAACACTGCTGAACGGTGTTAAAATGTCAAAGATGTAAATGTTATGTTACGTGTATTTTACCACAGTTAAAAACTGTTTTAAAAAGCATCAAGATCAAGTAGGGCTCATTCCCAGAATGTAAGAACAGCTTAATATTAGAAACATCTATTTGTGTCATTCATTACATCAGGGAACAACAGGAGAAAACTCACAGAGCTACCTCAAAATATGCAGAAAAAGCATGTAATGGAGTTCTATGACTATTTATAATAAAAACTCACAGGAAAAAAGAGAAACCCTCTTGGTTGGTAAAAGCCGTAGGCAATTAAGAATGGAACAAGTACTCACGTTCTCTTCAAGATCAGGAACAAGACGAGGAATGCTCTCTGTTCGGGATGTTGCTTAGCATAGTCCTGGCTCAAGCAATAAACCAAGACAAAGAAATAAGAGTGATTATCTCAACATGGAAAACACCACTGCTGGTGTGGCTCAGTGGATTGAGTGCCTGCCGGCTTGTGAACTAAAGGGTCACCAGTTCGATACTCAGTCAGGGCACATGCCTGGGTTGCGGCCAGGTCCCCAGTGGGGGGCACATGAGAGGCAACCACACACTGATGTTTCTCTCACTCTCTTTCTCCCTCCCTTCCCCTCTCTCTAAAAATAAATAAATAAAATCTTTTAAAAAAGAATCAACCAATGAATGCATAAATAAGTGGAACAATAAATTGATGTTTCTCTCTTTCCCCCTTCCTCTCTCTCTAAAATCAATAAATACAAATAAGTAACTAAAATAAAATAGTTTGCCTGTACATCAGTAATTTTCAAGCAGTGAACCTCAGGAACTTTTAAAACATGCAACTCCTGACTACTTACTTAGTCAGGGGCACTGACCTCTTTTCCCTTCCAGGGGTGTCCAGCCTGCAGCCCGTGGGCCACATGCAGCCCAGGAATGAATACGGCCCAACACAAAATCGTAATTTTACTTAAAACATTATGAGATTTCCTTGTGGTCATGTGTCACAATGTACTTAATTGTGTGACCCAAGACAACTCTTTCCAGTGCGGTGCAGAGACACCAAAAGTTTGAAAACCCCTCCCTGCTCAGATTATCAAATAAAAAAATGACAACAGCCAGCACAATAATAGCCATCCAGTGTGAATGAATCAAAATTATACCCAGTTGCTTTGTTTTATTTATTTTTTTTCAGATTGGAAAAAAAGTTTGTTTTTGGTGTGCCACAGAATTTTAGTAATTAGTTTATGTGTGCCATGAGATAAAAAAGGTTGAAAATTGTCACTGTACATCATTGAATTTTTTTTTAGATTCTGTTTGTTTTTAGAGAGAGGGAAAGGGAGCTAGAAAGAGAGGGAGATGAATATCAGTGTGTGGGCTGGTGTAGCTCAGTGGGTTGAGAATGGGATGCAAACCAAAGGGTCGTTGGTTCGATTCCCAGTCAGGTTACATACGTGGGTTGCAGGCCAGGTCCCCAGTAGGGGGCGCACTAGAGGCAACCACACATTGATGTTTCTCTCCCTCCCTTTCTCCTTCCCTTCCACTCTCTCTAAAAATAAATAAATAACATCTTTTTAAAAATAATATACTAAACTAGTATTGATATTTCTTATTGAGTTTTGGGTGTTCCCTTAAAATTTTCACCTGGGGGGAATGCCTCACTTCCCTTGTCCTAGTCCTGGCCCATCAAGATCCCAAAGCTCGTAAGGAGAGGACTAGGATTCCAGAGCATGCAGTTTGGCTCCAAAGCCCATGAATGTCTTGTTGCAACACTCTTCTAGACAGTCAGTAAAACTAACAGCCGGTAGAAAGAGATCTTGGAGGATATCTTTGTCACTTCGGGGTGAGGAAACGCTTCAAACAAGCCTCAAAATGCACAAACCTGATGGGCTTGCCTGTAAAAACGAGGATGGTTCTTTAACTCAGGGCGCCTTGGACAAAGGAAAGCTACACAGACAGACAGGAGACACGTGCAATGTCAGGACCCAGCCGGGGATTAAATCTTAGAAATGAACAGACATTCAAATCGGCAGAAAAAAGACCAGAAACCCAAGAGGAAGAAAAAAAAAAAACACAGGACAAAAGCTGTGACCACCAGACTATCCACAGAAGAGGGAAACACCATGACTGCGTGAAGAGCTGTGCAAACCCTGTCATCAGAGACCCCCGGTGAAACCGAGGCACCGCTTGACACTCATCAGACTGGCGAACCATGAGGCAGCTGAATACCACGTGCGCAGAGACAACCAGAGCCCTCCAGGCGGATGTGTGAACTCCCACGGCCACTCGGGAGGGCATCCGCGGTGCTTGGCGAAGTCAAGGGTGCACGGACCCCATGGCCTGGAAGTCCTGCTTGAAGAAGAATGCTCCCCAGCCCATCAGGGCACGGTGTGAAGATGTCCATAGCCGTGATGTGTGGGACGTGATGGGGGCAGCAGGCCCCGCTGAGTGTGCGTCCCTCGGGGAGGAGGGGGTGGATAGTGAAAGTGCCAGATGCTCAACGTGGTACGCCGCATGCAGCCGGTAGAAGCAACGAATGAGATGCTTGTGCAGAACATTAGCATGGAGTGTCCAAAGGTACAAAGGTAAGCATCAGAATGAGTTTTATAGTGCTCGTTTATAAATTGCGAACACACCCACAAAGGAGCCAATGCCAAGTGCACTAGAGAGTCAGGCGGGGCTCGAGGAAGCGGGCTGAGCTCACTGATGTGGGGCTGGTGGCAGGGCGGGGAGGAGGGAAGTTGCCCGGGGGGATGATGTGTCGCAAACGGAGAGGGACGATCGCCACTGCTCCTCACGTGAGGTCATAACACGAAGTGCGGTGGTCGGGGGAGGGGGAGAGTGGGCGCTCCTGGAGCTGGGCAGGCCTGCGTTCACCTCCCAGTTCTTCCACTTGCAAGCACTTGGGTTTTTTTTTTTTTAAGATTTTATTTGTATTTATTTTTTATTTTTAAGTATATTTTATTGATTATGCTATTACAGTTTTCCCAATTTCCCCCCCTTTATCCCCCCTCTGCCCTGCACTCCTCAGTCCTCCAGGTCCTCCCCGCTTAAAGGTTCATGTCCATGATTTGTACATATAAGTTCTTTGACTTCTGTTTCCTATACCATTCTTAACCTCTCCCTGCCTATTTTATGCCTGCCAATTACGC